AATGGTAAAGCCTGCATCAGGCAACTTGTTGCAGCAATTCGCAAGCAATCTAGTAAATTAGAAATGCAGTATGCTGCATTTTTAGTAGTTTACTAGATTTGAGCTGCAAGGTGTGTCTTCAGTGAAAAGTTACACGTGAATTCGACGAATAGAATACTCAAATTCGTGAGTTTTCACTTTTCACATTTCCGCACTAAGGAAAAATTACATCGATGTTCTGGTATACAAGCTCTATGTAATTACATAAAAATTAAGGCAACATTAATTATTTTTTAGGTATTTTTTAGGCATGTGGCACAAACTTAATTGCACAGAAACGGAACGCACTCTGGATGTACCTTTAGCACATCTCTTTTCGCATGCTGTGTGCAGGAGCCATGAGGTAGTTAAATGGCGCCAAGTAATGGAATCGTGACAAATGGAAAGAAACAATAGGGAAACTTTTAGTATCACGTCTATTTTTTCAAGTTAAATATAATATATAGAGAAAGGAGAGAATTTTAATTGTATCTAAAAGAAATTGTATCAGCACATTTGAGATATGTCTTCTGTCAAAAATCTAAGAAGATCTGCTCGAATAAAAACTTCTGTGAAATATGTCGAAGACAGCGATGAAGAAATACGCCAGAATTCTCGTAAGAGTTTATTAATAAAGAGTATTAATAAAAATTTGATTATTTATTGTATTGTTGCACATGCCATAGATTATACAACTTATATCTTGCAGCACCTAATTTATTAAAAGCTGAAATAGAGAAGCAGATTGAAGATATAGAAGAAGATTTACAGAAACCACTTGGTAATTAACAAAAATTTTTATAAATTTATTACTTTATTTTTATCTAACATTATATCTTGTTATTTTAGAATTGTTTTCTGATAAAGATGTGAGTGGAAGTAAGCTCTATGGATTTCAAACACCAGTGAAAAAGAATAGTATGATACTCAAAGCCAATCAATGTCGTATGTCAAATACTGAGACTCCAAAAAGTTTGAAAACACTTCCAAATCTAAAAGTTGTTCTTGAAGATATTTTGCTAAGTCCAAAAAGTAAAAATTTGGAAGCTGATAACAAAGATATTGATAGGAAAGGTATTACATATTTTATTAGAGAAAGATTTTGTTATAAATTATAAAAGAATACACTTATACATTATTAATTATTTCTATTTATTAGTATCCCGAAAACGATGTTTGCCTAATGTAAATTCAAGTGGTGATGAAAGTGTATCAGAGGGAAGTGAATATATGCCTATAGATAATGAAGTTAGTTCAGAAACTGATCAGGTATCTGATGATAGTGAAGACATTAGTGAAAATGCAAGTTCTGATTCAAGTGAGGAAGAAAATGTTATAAGGAAAATAGGGAAAAATGTGGCACAGAAATCTCTGCCAAAACATGAAATACAAAATACACCAAAAAAGACTAGAAGAGGACGTAAGACTATTGTATATAAAGATTATGTAAGTTGTGATTAATAAGACTATATAATTATATATATGTAGCATGTGAGATGTAAATAATTATTTTTTACATTATATTCTATTAATTATATTTTCTAACATTTAAAGCATATAAAGGCTGATGAATACTTCGAATCTCAATCAGAAAAACCAGTCACATCTGACCATACATTAGGAAGACTGCGAAATGCTCGTCTTACTGAAAAAACATTAGAGGAATTGTTAACAAACCAAAATCATATTTCTATGACACATAAAAAACGTATTTGTTCGTTAACGGAAAATTATAGATCGTTTTTTTCCATGTGGCAATTCATAATGGAGTAAGTATTATAAGCAGTATGATTATTAAAAATATTGTGTAATGATACCTTCTCTAAAATATGATATTCAATTGCAGAGAAGGTTACAGTCTTCTTCTTCATGGTTTAGGCTCAAAAAGGAATTTAATTAATGATTTCCATAGTGAAATTATAGCTGATCATCCAACATTGATCATAAATGGATTCTTTCCTAGTTTATCAATAAAAGATGTAAGTAGAATATATATCATTGCAGTTGTTAATTGAAACAGTATATAAAAGTAATTATAAATATTCTACAAATAATTTTACACATCAAAGCTAATTTTTAATTTTTGTAATTATAAATATTCTTTCAGATACTCAATACCATAATTGTAGATTTTTTGGATGCAGATTGTCCAACAAATCCTAACGACTGTCTAGAGATTATTGAAAAGATTTTAAGAGATAATCCAGATGATCGACTCTATTTAATAATTCACAATATAGATGGTATAATACTGCGCTCTAACAAAGCTCAAAATATTCTTGCTAGCCTGGCAACTATTCCAAATATTCATGTGATAGCATCTGTAGATCACATCAATGCACCACTTCGTAAGTCATATTTATCCTTGTATTAAAATTGATTTATCACTAGTTAGTATCATTAATTTATTATTTTAGTATGGGACGATATAAAACGTGCCAAGTTCAATTTCTATTGGTGGGATGTGACAACGTTTTTACCATATCAAGCTGAAACTGCCTATGAAAGTTCTTTAATGGTTCAACAAAGCGGTGCACTTGCTTTATCTTCTCTCCAAAGTGTTTTTCTTTCTCTTACTTCAAATACTCGAGCAATTTATTTAATTCTTGTGAAGTATCAATTGAACAACAGCAGTAATAATTTCACAGGTAATTATTGTTTGATATACTATTTTATTATAACATAACTAGTTCTTAAAAAATATATATAAATTAATTATATATTAATTATAGGAATGTCATTCAAGGATTTATATCGAGCAGCACGCGAACAGTTCCTGGTCAGTTCCGATTTAGCATTAAGAGCACAATTAATCGAATTTGTAGACCACAAATTAGTACGAACTAAACGCACCATTGATGGCGCTGAGCACCTCATAATACCTCTTGATAAGAATCTTCTTAAACAGTTTATGGAACAACATGGATCATAATGCATTTGGTAAACTTGATAAAATTAAGAAAATATACAAAATTTTATAAAATAAAAAAGATTAATTAATAGTGTAATATTAATAGTGTAATTATTAATAATATATAATTATTAAACTATTAATTTCTTTTTTATTATTGCTACTAATTAAATTGACATACTTATTGTAGATTGATGAATCTTTTTTTATTTTTTAAATGCTCAATATACAATATTACATACTCTGAAACGTTATATAGTTACAAATATCCTACAATTGCAGCACTGCAATCATACCAATGTTGGTATCAGTTGGTGTCGTTTTCAGCTGCACTTCCTGTACTTTCGATTCTCATTCTTCTCTTTTTCCCTTGAATGCTTTATGTATGACTATTTCGTTTGATGAGTGCAAAAAGTGACACAATGCAATTGAAAAGAACACATCTATTGAAAAGGTGCATTCGGCGCATTCATCACGGAGTGTCGTAAATGTGCAAAGTTAGCGCGGGTTAAATGAAGACGCCACTTATGTTCGTTGCGTGACGTTATATCTTATATAAAACAATTTAAAGTGCGCGAAACTGTGATACGATATAGACACGTAATGATTTATAGGACGCTGCTTCTATACATAACATTGTCGTCATCTTCGAGATGACAAACTCATCAGGAAATGTCAAAATGAAATCGAATGGTTGTGTTAGGTTAGTTTAACCGTCTGATGTGAAGCTGCTCGATTTACTCTATCGATTGCGACTTCAATAATCGCAATCGGCATCAACGGTCATTTCGTTGTCAGTTATTTTGTCTGACTTTTGTGTTCGTGGTTGTGCCATAAATCCATGTGTGATATCGTGAAATTTACGTACATATTTTGATAAATATTGTGCAGCTGCCGGCCGACGCCTGTCAATCGACAACATTGTAAACATATCTCTCATCTGACCGTTTTGACCTTACACTGGTAAGTCGTACGCGCGCGCGCGCGCAACCTTGACTTTCGGATTGAGTTGTATCATGTAGAGAGAAAGAGAAAGAGAGAGAAATGCCGTCATGAAGAAGTAGCGGCGAGCACGTTTTCCTATAAACAGTACAATGTTACTTGCAATATATTTACCAACACTGCAACGTAAGGGCATATTTCTTCCAAATACTTTTTCATACTGCTGACGAACAATCTTATTCGATTCTGAATGTTTTATTACATAGGATTACATAGAAGCAAAAAAATAGCCACTTTTTAAAGACATTTTTTAGACATTTTTCTAAATGTTTTAAGTAATTTTATTGCTACAAAGCTACTATAAAATAAAAATGTTAAATTATAATTAATTTAAGAAAAAGAAATTGTTAGATTAATAGTAAAGTACAGTGGTTATGATAGTTTTTCTTTGTCACTTTGGTGTGTTTATATCAAATTTGCATACAGATAAAAGTTTTGATACAAAATATATATTAATTACATATTTGAAGTAATAGAAATGTATATTTATTACAGGATTTACTGGAATGTTTCTATGTTAACCCGTTGTTACATTGTTACGTTGCGTATATAGGTGAGTGATTAAATTATTTTACTTTTACTTTACGAAAGAAAGGAATAACACTGTGGAACATAAATTATTTAATTGCTTTCAATATAGAGTACTGTATTGTATAAATTTTATTTGTTGTGTCACATTTAGCCAGATTTTTGCTGAAAATTGTTAGTATTTTGATTGGCATTATCTTATAATGGCAATTTTTATTGTTACACGCTGTATTTGAAAAAATACTGTGCACAGCTATGTATAATTAATAGAATGCAATGTAAATATTTGAGCAATATCTTTTTATGTACTTATTTTTCTTTTTTGACATTTAATTTTTAATACCTGACCAAGTAAAGCATTATCACATTATTAATTTTATATTGTTTTGTTATAAAGAACACGAAATGAATTTTAGACGTGTTCTATTTTAAAATCTTGCAAGATTTATTTATGTTGTACAGTGCAATATGACTATCTTTATCGTTACTGTTGTTAGCCTAGAATGTGATTGATTGAAAAACATCTTAAACATCTGGGCTTTTATATATAAATTAAAGCTATGATTCTTTTATTGCAAGAGATACTTTTAGTTTTATACATTAAACAATATTTTATAATATTGTATGTAGTAACTTGCAATACTCTCGTGTGATACTTTTTCACGGCGAGAAACTTAGTTTCTGCACCAGCAGATGGCGGAACGTTGAATATTTTAATGTGTAATCTAATAATGCTTGCATTATAATTGCAATATAAATTTTAAAGAGAATGCATCCATTATGTTTTTAAAAAATGCACTATTTCTAATTAGATATATCATGAATTTTTACATAAACTTAACTGTTTTTATAGATTATATAAACTTAAATTAGACTTGTTTATTTGCAATTATTCACTTACATACATTGAAATGTTAAAAACTGATATTCCTGATAAGAGTATCGAATATTTTAGAAAAAAACAGTCGGTTTTCGCTTTGTCGCGTATTGTTCTCACGCTAATAAAGTAAGAAAGTGGTTTCGTCTATTTTTAAGCATAAGAAGAATTATACTCGCTTTCGTTGGTGAAAGTTGTCAAATTGTCCTAGTTACGCGGTATATAAATCGTGACATAGATAAATTTACCATCGTTTAGATGGTGGGAATTATCAGATTTTCTTCAAATTTTATTAAAATTTCTTCACGGCGGAAGTAACTCGTTCGTCATCCAATAGTTATGAATTCAACTCTCGTGGGCGTTGAGAAACTCTATGAATCATACGTTTAAGATCTCTCCCTTCGTAAATGTCGTTGCTCCTAAAAAAATTATTAATATTTAACAGGCTGGAGAAAAAGTTGTAAACGTTTGAAAATCTTACTACAAAAATTCAATTTTGAAGTTTAAAATTATTTCTTACATTTAATGTGACATTTTCACAGGTTTGTGGATGTACAAAATTTATAATTTGTACCTCGTATAGTTTGCCTTAATTAATTTATTAATTCTTTTCAAAAAGTACAATATCGACAATTTTTTTTTCAAAATCAACGATATTTGATTAATAACAATTTCGGTCTCGCGAAAGTCTGAAAACCGAAAAAATTTACTTTCATATATCGATCGCGTATCTTTCTCTAACTGCGTTAACGCCGCGCGACTGTTTCGCCGATTTCACTTTTGCCAAGACAAACTAATTTCTCCCAGCTACGATTCCTCGAGAAAACCGTCGTTCAACACGGTCCTTCGTGTAGGTTTGATGCAAGAATGAACGAACGAACGACCGGAGGGAGAGATTTGCTTTCGCCTCGAACAACTCGAATTCGACGTTGGAGGACGTCGCTCGTTCGTGTTTGGTTATGAAACGTCCTGTACGAGGCAATACTTTCACTATCGCGGCCAAGTTTCATAATTATTAATATCGAGGCCGCACGTAGGTCGAAGAGGAGATTCTGTTGCGAGACAGAGAAAAGGGTTTGGCTCATCTTTCACCGTCTCTGCGAATAATATTCAGGAATGACCCTAATCTTATTTTATACAGAATGCCTCGATGATGCCTTTATGTGATGACATTCTTTCATAAATAATCAGATATAATCAGAATTAACTTTCTCCTAACGAAAATTTAATGAAAGAACTAATTACTCAGCTATTTAAACTTTTTTTGATAAACGATTCTCGTATACTAAGGTTAAATAATGAAGTATTCTTTCATGGTTATTATTTTTACAAGAATTGAAGACTTCCATCTTACAATTAGAGATATTTAATGTCTACATTATAAACTGCAATATGGAACGTTGCATTTCCTACAAAAACTTCATTAATTTATTTTAAATTCACTAAAGAATTCCGTTACTTGAAAAATGGGGCTAGTTACGCGACGCTCTGTATACGCATATACACGCGTCGAACTTTCGTCCTAGTTGCGTTGTGATTTTGTTACACGTCGCGTTGCGTGATCGAGAAATCATTTTCCCAGCGTGATCACCGTGTCGATCACCGGTTAGCAATTCCCTCGTCAAAGCTCGTCGACGTCGTCGTCTCGTTTCTCCCTCTCCTTCTCCCCCTTTCTCCTCTTTCTCTCCACCGCTGCACATGATGCACGTGCGAAGTAACGTTCGTATAACTAGTTTTGCTCGTATCTAATATCCGCCGTGTGGCGTCATTGGTGGCTCTATTAACGAGCGAGGAGCTAGGTCGACGCCGACGTCGCCGTGCGCGCGCTTTATCCGGACCTCTCTCCCTCGCTCGCAGCCCAAATAGTTTTAACTCCAGCGCGCTCGTCTTCTACAGCGATAAATATTTCAACGGTCGCTACAAATGGATGGCGGAGGGACTATAGGTATTAAATAAATTCAACTAAATAACAGTCGGTAAATAACAGACGCATCGTATAAAAGTCGATCAACAGTTCATTATACGAAGTATATAGCGATACAGAAAATGAGAATCAAGTATCTGCTATCGTGACGGAAAACACGTTCAATTTTAAAATTGCAAAATTCGAAATAATCAAGGTTTTATTATTATTCATCGCTTTTATTATGTTAGATAAAAATAATAACACATTCATATAAGATTTGATTATCGGAATAGCTCACTTTTCGAAATCTGATAATTTACTGCATAAAGGCGTTTCTGTAGTAATGTGTACGTGATTTTGATGATTGCGCCTCGGGCATGAATGCACGATAATTTTCCGCGCGCGACGATGATTTGATTCCGCGTTTAACGCGACAAATAGCATTGGCGTTCGATTAATCAATCGCGATAGAATGAATTCTCGGGGAGAGGGATGCACGCTAGCCGTCCCAGACGAAGGAAGGAAGGAAGGAGCCCGTCCGAGGTCGAGTCGGGGTTGCTGTACATGTACGAGTATTGCGCAAGAGCATTCACCCCGCTCAATACTCAGCGACGGCACACAGAGATACAGGAACCCTGAAAATGTACAGGGTACACACGCGAGAGAGGGGGAGAGGAAGAGAGGGAGAGAGAGAGAGAGGAAAGACGGGCAGAAGCTTTGGGGACCCTGGGATCGAGAGAGTGCGAGAGAGAATGGAGCAGGAAGCGGAAACTGGCTCTAGCC